GTACTGAGCACAAGTGTGCACTTTCCCTAGACATTCTGCTAGGGTGTGTTGCTGCTTGAGTAGCCCTGTAACAAGGGATTTTAAATGTTCAAAACAGGAATCCAAAACTGGGAGTAGTTTTTTTATTACTGCATGGAAATTCTGGACAGTTAATTAATTTAATAGCATTTCTGCCTTAACTTTGACTCTGCTGTATTGAGTATTTTGGATTGGTGTGTTACACAAGAACAGTCCATACAATGGTATATTTAAGGTCTTGGCTACAGCTTCATTTTTGTTCTCATGTTCAAATGTCTATTTAACAAAAAATCTAAAAGTCTATTTAACAATGTTTTATTAATAAAATTACATTATTAATAAAACATTGTCTTGACTTGAAACTCATACTTATATATCTGAAGTACTAGAAGTATTTAAAAAACATTTTACCTAAGCATGGCTAAAATGAAACTGTTATTTATATACTAAGTCAAGTTCTTTTCTTGATTTCTTCAAAATTAGCAAAATAAAGTTTTAAGCTTATTGTTAACTTTTCTTTCAGGATTTTACATGTAAATAGCTTAAAAAATGTTAAATAAGGAAAAATATCCATTTGCTCCCCCAGGGAAATCTACCATTTTCATTAAAAGTATGTACCAGAGACTTAGATAATAGATGGTGACATTTGCCTAAAAAAAAAAGCCTAAGTAGAAAAATGTAAAATGATTAAGTGTCTACAATACATTTCTAAAGCATCTTTCAATCTTACTTAACAAAAAAATATATCCAAAAGTGCATTTAAAAAAACAACGATGCAGAAATGTATAGCATTGACATGAGGCTGACTGTTGCACACACATATACAGTTTATAGGAGTTCTATGCAAGGATTGTGTGGAACACAAGAAAAGGCAGCTCTGTCTTCTGTTTTCTACCAAGAGAGTAACTGAATAGACTTCTGCTATCACTATGGAAACTTGAACATGTTTCAGTTTAATCAGTCCTACTTAAACACATTGCTGGGACTAATTGCATTATGAACTCCACAGCCAGGAAGAGATCATGTGGTGCTTATTGTAAGAATGCTGTAATTGGAAAATGATTACAGGATTTTTAGGATCAAATGTAACCCAAATTGCTAGGGTAAAAGAATCATCTACTCAAATACCAGTGATTCATAACACTTCCAAAATACATCCTATTCGTTCATTCAACAAAATCCCATTCTAATCCTATCTTCTATTCAATTCCAAAACCCAATGCTCTGAAAGGATGCAAATTCATTAAGAAATCTAATCAATTTAAAACAAGTTTGGATAAATAGTGGAAAACCACTTTTTGTAGATATATTTTGATTACCAAGAATTATATTAAGCTGTTCCAACTATTTAGAATTTGGGAATCAGATAAAATAACAGTGAAACCAGTTAAGATCAAGATTTGTTTGAATGATGACAGCCAGTGCTTTGGTGATCAACATTAGGTGTGCAATATACAAATACAGTATGCACCCTTATTCTTTTTCAAACTGAATGCACTTTTCTTATGAACAACACTATTAAACGTCAAGACAGAACACAAAACCTATCATTTGAAAAGAAAAAACAGAGGAGCAAAAGTGCAATAAAGTACAATGAACTTGTCTGTCATCACAGTGTTTTGTAAAATTTTTTATTTGCACAGCACTTCAGACACAGGACATTTATTTTCGACTAGGGTTTATAAGGAAAGTTCACTTGGGATGAACAGCCAAGTTCATTCAGCTTCAGCTGTCAGCAATTTGTAATAATTCCTGACATCATTTCCTTACATTAAAAGAAACTATATGTAACCCTCTTCTTACACATCCCTTCTCCAGCTCATCTTCACGTTTGCAGGTTGGTCACTCCTCAGTCCTCATCAGGGTCTCAGCCTCCTCGTCCTATGCCCAAGCGGGCTAAGCCAAATTTACTGTGACTAAAACACTCAACAAACCCTTTTAATGCACTCAATTTGTCCATGCTGTAATTTCTAGTGAATTTCAAATTATTTCTTAAATTTGCTGCATTTCAGTTGGTCTTGTATCTCTTGGGGTCTGGACATGGCTGAACTGCTGATCTTCCATAAGCCTCAGTGAGCTTCAGTATGAACAACAAAGGCATGAAGGACTTGTCTATTGTAGTACATGTAGGCAGCTTGAGAGGCCAAGGACACTGCTGGCACCGAGAATGAACCTAGTTCTCACCCTCTAGGTAGGTGGCCCTTCAAAAGAATTGAGGAAAATCATTAAATGTTATAGTATGGCACCACTGCAGCCTCATTTGTGTACAGGGAAAATATGTTAGCGTTACATGTGTCATTTCATAGCAATGCAATTTTTTTAGCCATGTGTTAGAAATACTGGATTCTTTTCTGTTTACATAAAGTTTTGAAAGCACTCCCAATTACGTCTAGCTTCTAACAGTTCATTCTCTGGCTCTCGTTTCTGTGTCTATCTGCCTTTCAGTCCTAACCCGAGTGCTTGCCTCTCTGGGCTTTTCTTTGGAACCCCAGAATGAATGCGTCAAGAGGAAAAAAAGAATGAGGTCATACGGATGTTTTAAATTGCAAATAAAAGCTCTCAACTAAGTGTTCAATGCAGGGCTTTGCTAACAACATGACATCCATGGTTACAGGCCTTTAGTGTGCATGCCAGGCGATGCTACCCAGCCAGCAGTGGGATGAGGCATCAGGATAAGGGCACGGCCTGGAAAAAGACCAGGCACCAGTGATCGTTTATGTATTGTGACACAGAAGGGCTTAAGAGGCCAGAGATATAAAAATAGGTATATTTTATGGACAAGAAACATTGCATCAGTTATGCTTTTAAACAATAGTTACAGAGGCACCCATTAATTTTTGTAGATACAACTTTCATCATGCATTTGCCAAGGCAAAGCTGACCCCAGAAGGACTTGTGTAGACGATTTGAACTATGGAGTTTTTATGTTTCTCGCAATCATGACACGAGGTCAAGAGCTAAAAACACATCCCCTTCCAACCATAGAGGCAGACGATAGACAAAGGCATTTAAACTGCGTGACCCAAGTACTTAGTGCACCTGAACGAGGGTTGCCATTGCAAAGGGTACATGAATACTTATATAATCAGCTTATGTTATTTTTGATCTCTGCAGTTTGTGATGACATTTCTTCCTTCACCTATAAAAGTGTTCAGGTTGAGCTTTCAACTTTCAATTTAAAATACTCAATATAAAAATATGTGTACACATCATTTGCAATTCTAGAAAACAGACCAGTTTTGGAAGAGGGGAATGTTTTTGCAATTGTTCATCCCTGAATTTTCTTCTTACTGTGTGGGTGCGCAGATAATATTTCAGTATACTTTCAATGCATTTAAAGGGTCTTAGGTCCTGTATCACCTCTGGTGATAATACCATTTGTGTTCTTTAACTCAGTACTGTACACTCTCAACCCCACCTTCCTGACAGAGCACCTCATTCAGAATCTGACAACACACAGGGCTTTGCGTTCAAAGCATGCTAAATTTCGACAGCAGTCTTGCTCAAACAATGGAATCTCACCATTCTAGGTCAATAACAGGCGCATCAATGAAGTGTTGCCATAGTAACTGGGCCCTCGAACACTACCCTTATAACTGGCTGCTAATAACACACAACAGCAATGAGGACTGGAATGAGAAAGCAGCTGATGTCAGTGTACATAACGCCCATCCATTTTCAATAACCATCTAGTCCAACACATGGTCATGTGACATGGAGTCTAACCTGTCTGACAATGGACACAAGGTGGGCTTCACCCTGAACAGGATCAATAAATACAGGTATATCAGTTAAAATAGCCAGCATGTCAGTGGACTATGGCAGAAAACCCCCACACCCATGGTTTGAACATGCAAACTCTGTAGAGAAGGCACTATAGACTGGAAGAGGAATAAGGACCTACAGGCTGGAAGACAGCGGTAATAATTTCACTGTACATATAATCACTATAGAGCAATTTCCTGACGATTATCACACATACTGTATTATTCTACACCTTTACTCAAAACATGTACTGTATTAATTATTAATGGTGCTTTCCTGTATACTTTTTCTGGCGTACTGGCTATACAGTGTTAACAAGTTTGAAATGTTGTCTCATTGAGAGTCAAATTCCATTTGTAAGGAAATTCACACCTAAGGCCAAGAAATAAGGCTTGTACAAGAAAGAGGGTAGGAAGAAAAGTAAGACAAGAATGGAACAGAGGAAGAAGTGTCTCTTGTTGAATTACTAGGGCAGCACAAAATGACATGCACTGCCATGTTGCAAAAAACGGATGTCTGTGAAGCAACGTGAACTTCATCTCAATTGTAAATCTCTCAGCCAGCCGATGTGTGTGGATGTGGCAGACTGTTTCCAAATCAGTAATATTAGCTATCTGGCCACCTCTGAGACAAAAGCAAGATAATCTGACTGCAGCTTGGAGAGCACTATGCCATTAGATAAGGGACCAAAGACTAGGATCTAGATTTCTTATAGGATGTGCATGATTTTTTAAAAAAACAACAAAAGCACAGAAATTATGCAACCTTCGTCAGGCTTGAAACACACTGCAGAACCTGACATGACCTGAGTGCATTTTAAATAACAGACCTGTTGAATGTGACATTTTGGAAATAACTGAAAGGCGGGGCTAACATTATCAGAAATAGCTAATATGTTGTGTGTGGAGGTACTGTATTTCGCATCGTTCCAAGACATATGCAATAGTCACTTCTAAACACCCACTCAAAGTAATAACAGAGGGTGATCATAGCAGTACTCAGGGTGTAAGACTTTCTGCAAAACTGCTTGGATTCAGAGTACCATAGGGGATACACCCTGTATGTGTCTTGACTTTTTCCATTAACTTTCATCACAAACTCATTTCAAATCTTTTCTGAACTGTGCTGTGACTTCTTGTATCTCTACAATATGAATAAGAGGTACAGGGACTTGGTGTAACCTAATCTGGAAGAGAGTTGAAGCTTTACAAGGTAAGCAGGGAATCAGTTTGTGGCTTTATTGCATATATTGTACAGTATATCACGTACAGTAAATACAGATAATGGACAGAATGTTATTTGAATGTGAGAAAGATGCAAAGCAGTTATTGATCTTTAAGAGCTCTAATGCCTTTTCTATGCCAGATTTGTAATACTGTGTCTAACAGTGGGCTTGGAAATGCATTGTGGGCATAAATATTTAATATTACTGCCACCCAAACTGTCTGCACTGACTGCTGAAGCAGAGGGTTTCTATAGGGAGGAGCAGAAGTAGCAGGTTTGAAAGGGAAACTGCTGCCATGTGGAATCATTAGGTTGAGGGATCCTCCTACAAATTGGGTTTTTTTAAAAATGATTATTTTTCCAAAATCTTCACTGAAAGTTGGATAAAACTTATGGTCCTTACAAAAAAGTCTTTCTTCCAAAGAAAAGAGATTTTTTTTTGTTAATGTATAAGATGCCAATTCTATCACCTAAGGAACAGGACAGTGAATGCAATAAGGTGAATTCAGAAAACCAGAAAACACGGTCATGTTGATGAAATTCACATATCCAGTAAAGGAAGGAGAGGACTAGATGAATAGTTGAATGGTCCAGTCCTTTGTTTTCAACGCAAGATGTTCTAGCTTTCAATGGCATTAGTTTCATAGGTGAAGATGCAGCCATTGGGAAGCACTGTAATGCACTGTATTATACAATACTCACGTTTACAATGTAACAGCAATATAAATCAACCTTGTTTTGTAATGCTTAAAAAAATACTGATTATGAATATACAGCTCCCAAAACTCTGTAATACAGGGCTATATAACCCAATTATATTAAAATGATTAATGACTAAATCATTTTTACCTTTGCATTAACAGTTTATACTGTACACACATTTTGTACAAGTTTATGAAGCTTAAGAGCAGCAGGACAAAAAAGGATTGATTGGTCTCTATTAATTTTGTTACGATGTTTCTTCTATAAAACCTGATTTATTACAGCATACCAAATCCTTTAGGAATGCAAGATTCTATTATTGTGTAATGTTTCATAAACAAGAGAAAAGGTATTGTTTCACAACCTAATAACATCAGAGCTTGCCATTTTCTTGCACACCAAGACAGTCTATAGCAAAGTCAAGCTTTCTTTAAATTAAGTGGTAAAGAACCATAACATAAGAAAAGCAGGTTTACCTTATCTTCCTGGGGTAATTGTTTGTAGATTGTGGAACGAAGAATCAAGTCTCATTAAGAGCAGACATATTTCTTAATATTTCCTTATCAGATAGAGTTTTTGTCATGTGCTCTGATCAACACATACCAGAGGTGTTAGGACACTCAGCTACAAAACCAGTACAACAATCAGGCTTCCTGGTCCCATAACTCAGACTTGACAAGTGCAAACATCATGAGCAACAGATTGACCTTTTGGGGTCTCATTTAAATGTCTAGACGTGCCCTCTGGAAAGGTCACAACCTTGAATTTAACCAGGGTAACATATGGCATATGTGTCGTATTGTGTGGCACCACAAACTGGCTTCAGACATTTTACACCCCTGCATGTTCATTATTATTGGCTGAAAACACAAAACAAGTACCACATAATTTTGGTGATGCAATTTACAAAGCTGGTTACACTTAAGAAAACCATAATAAAACAAGACTTAAACTGAATCAAACAATAGCTAATAACAAATACTTTTATTTCCTTTAAAAAGTCTCCTCATTTTCACATATGCATACAGTAATTTTTAAGTTGTTCTTCGGTGAATTTATATGAAATGGGTAGACATCTTATAGAATTGACTGTTACTTTTTTTAAAGCAGGGCTTCGCAACGTTTTGAGTTTATTTTGCTTTGGTTAAAAGCACTGAAGGCAGCTAACTGTTACACAGCTAGCAAACAAGGAAGCCTTTTTTTTTTACAATATTTAGCCAACAAAGACACTGTTAATGCCAGCTGATACTTTCCACCTTTTAGGGGACTTGGAGGCAATCAGTCATAATCCCACAGATGGCAGGTATGCACAGAGGTGATTTACTCCAGGGCTGTTGGCTTCAGAGTTTAAGAGGAATGACAGGCCAATATTTTGGCTGCTTCAAGTCGCAGTTCCTGTCGAAGGTAAGCTGCATGGCAGTCTCCATGCCCTGGATTTTAGCAGCATCTTCCCCATAGAGCATCTTCATCTCGATTCCCCTTCTCACACCCGGCTGGTCTCTGGGGGGCTGAGCACTGCGCCTCGCCACTCTGTAGAGGTCATGGTCAGCAGGCACGTAAGCACTCTGTTGCTCCTCTTCCAGCTGCTGCTGTTTCCCTGCGGTGGAGCAGAGTGACAAGCGCCTGAATTAGACGAGAGCAAAGCACAACAGCAGAGTAACGTCATACTTATCTTCTTGTCTCTTTCTCAACAAGTCCTCGTTCGGTGTTGCATGTCATTCAAGATAGTGATATCGCACTCTAAAACCCAAAAGCAAAGCAAAACCCCAAAAAGAATTAGCTTATTCAAGAGTAGTATCCAAAGCACACTGCATGAATGACTGAGAATGCAAAAATGTCACCTATGAAGACATTTGTTGTTAAAAAAGGGTTCCATGATTTTTTTTAGAGGGATGCATTTCTTCCAGGTCCTGCATTGGTCTTCAAAAATTAGATATCAACTAAAAAAGCCACAAGCCTACCTGCTAGCTATAAGTAATAACACTTACTTCAAGTTCAAGCTGTCATTATATTCATACACAGGTATATAAGATAAGATCACTTTATCGGCCATATACAATTTCTTGTATTTTCTTGTAGCGTGCTCTCCATGAGACACAGACAGGGAGAGAAGCTTGGGGTCAGAGTGCAGGGTCAGCCATTGTATGGTGCCCCTGGAGCAGTTGGGGTTAAGGGCCTTGCTCAGGGCCCCAATAGAGTAGGATTCCTCTGCCGGCCGCGGGATATGAACCGGCAACCTTCCAGCCACAGGCGCAGATCCTTAGCCATAGAGCCATCGCACCAACAAAATGCTATTGAGTTAGTATAATAGGGTGTGACAAGTTCAACAATGAATTCTTAAATGTTTCTTCTGAACTAAAAAAAACAACTATTTAGACTAAAAGAGCTTGATGCTTATGAACAATATATGCAGTACATCGGAAAGCTGCACTAACTGTGCATACAATTGTGCAATTTCATACCAACAAAATCCCTGGCTCAACGCACCAACTAATAAGACAGAAAAACTGTGAGACACTACACGTATTTCTATACTTAATTTGAATAGTGTCCATCATAAGACACCTACGAACTGGTAAAATCAATAGAAAATGTATGTAAATCCTGCATTGAACTTTCTCTGATAAACCAATGCAAAACGTTCACTGGTCAAATGTATACAATTTAAATCATGTTCTTTACTATCCTGTGGCTTCTCACACATAACAACAACTCAGGGAAGGGAAGGGATAAAACAATCAGAGCAAATGTATAGCATAGGTCTCCATATTTAACCTGAAAGAACATTTTTAAAAGGTAGGTCTGAAAAGTCCAGTATATTTCAGTGTTTGCAAGTCATTAAAAAAAAAACACATTTACACTTTTTTAACCCATGGAGAAGGGCTTCACAATCCACAACTGCATTAAGAATGAATGCTAGTTTGGAAGAGACCAGAGATGTGGTTATATTGTTTACTTCAATGTAAAAAAAAGCTGTTAAATGAATCTTCCCCAGTCCTGCAAGTCTAAAGCCGGGACTCAGCGAAGATCATAGGCCAGATATGGGTGTCCCACTCACAGTAGGGTTTAAAATAGACGCTGAAATAGAAATGTTAACCTCGAATGAATTCCATTCTCATGGGGGACAGCAGGATGCGACACTGGCCTGTGCCGAAATACCTATTCATGATTCAAAGAAAGAGGCTAACAGAGAGCACTCAAGAGACAGCTCAGTCATGGGGAGGATGAGAAGGAAACAATACAGACGTCATCCTTTGAGGGGCCCTCAAGATGAACAAAATGGGAGTATTTGCTCTGAAGCTCCAGGGATGTGCAGGAAGAATATATTATTTCAACTAGAGAATAAGAACTAAAACAAAGCAACGTAACCTAACATTAAAGGACAACATTACACCAATTATATTGCTAGCGTAACATCAGCAAAACTGTTCTTGGCTAGTACACCAGTAGCTTAAAAACATGTATGTTCCTATCAAAAAAAGGGCCATTCCATTCAATTCAACTGAATTTTGCAGATAAAAATAAATGACTTTCTCATATTAAATACAATACATACTTTGTTTTTGAAGGGTTTCTGGATTTTTTCTGTCACAGTTCCGAGGTTTAACTTGCTGGATTATTATTTTAATGAAAAGCACATTCTCTTGTTTTCCATTTCACCACTGATACTAATTGATGAATTATACCATCTCAAGCACCAAGTTTGTCCATTTTGTGGAAACTTTTCTCTCATTTTGGATGAGATTAAGGAAAATAAAATCCCACACATTTTGCATTTTTCCCCAGTAAAGGAGAAGTACGGCCTTAAACTGGACAAAATAAAATGCAGCACATTCAAGTTTGTCTGGGTGAAAAGGAAATGTGGTCCAGCTGTATGCAACGTGACTGCAAAATAATTCTCATCACATCTGTTCCGTGTTGTTTTTTTGTATAACAAGGATACTGGCCACAGCCACACCAACAAGCAGGGGAACCTACACTATTTGACTTTGTTTGAGCAAGCAATGAAGCAAGCTTTATGACCGAAGGGACACATATGGTACACTTTTGTGGCATTAAAAAACTACCTCATATTTCCCACATCTCTCACTGAACAGGCAAAATACATATTTTTGTATGTACCCATCTTCTAATCATCTAAATTAAAAAAATACAAAGCATGCAGGGTACAAAGAACCATTCACAATGAAACACATTAAATACCTCAATTAAAATCCACAGTATGTTGAAATTAACATTTTACCAAACTAAGATGACTGCAATGTAGATCACAGAATAAATAATAGACATGATCTTAGAAAGTTCAGGTGGGTAGCTGCGTCAGCATGCGTAGGCTGCAAAGGAACGAGTAATAGGTTTATTCCATGCTGAAAAAAAGAAGAAAAAGAACACAACGTTTCGGCCGTGGAGCCTTCTTCAGGTGTGGTTGTTCTCTTTCTTCTTTTTTTCAGCATGGAATAAACCTATTACATGATCTTAGAAATGTTTACTGACGAAACCAAGTAGTTCACCAGGAGACAAAAGTAAAGGGGGTGGTCAAAACCCATTTGAGAATGTGTATGCATCTTCTGTTACAACACTTTAAAGGTAGACTTTAAAACCCTGAGCCAAACAAATGAATAATAAAAGGGAAATATTAGTGAACATAAATTTTAATATTACAGCTCAATTGTAATTAAAAAAGGAGAATATCTGTTAAAGAAAATTCACTCTAATTCCTTGCACAATATTAAGGAAAAGGCATCAGAAATGACATGAGCATGGGTTCATCACTGTTAACATCTCTGTGCAGTTCTTCCTAGAGGGTATAAACACCTTTAAGAGTCCTGCCTTATCACATTCTCTCCTCACAACAGACATCACATCTCACACTGCTCTTTCAACAGCCCACTCACAGGGAAAGTGTGTGGCACATAGGGGAAAACCTACAATCTTCCAGCAGTAGTTAAAAAGACGACAAGAAGAATAAACTTATCTGCAGGACTATAAAATGGAGGGAGACATAGTTTTACCCTTCTTTAGAGAAAACCATGGATAATGGTTACTCCTTAACCATTGTATTTAGTGTATTTCGTAACTATTACTTTAGCTGGAATACACACATGCACCCCAGACAGGACACCAGTCCATCACAGCGCACATACATACAACCACCTCAGGCAGGACGCCAGACCATCGCAGTGCACATACACACACCCAGCCCAGACAGGACGCCAGTTATTCACAGGGCACGCGCACACACCCCAGACAGAAGGCCAGTCCATCACAGGGCATACAAACAAACGAGCACATGAGGAGAATTGACAGAGACACCAAGCAACTTAGGCAGCCAGTTTTTGCAAAAAAGCAGCCAACCAAGCTACTGATCAAAACATGTAAACTCTACACTGAAGGTGCCTATTAAAGTATATAAAGATGAAATGGCAATAAATTCAGGGCACTGGCACAATAGAGTTTTAGTTAAAAGTCCTGTTAAAAATTCTCAATGCCAGGACTTGATTAAACCCATTTAACAAGTCTAGGACTTTATTAAAAGTAACTTCCTATCCTAAAGGCCTCATTTAATCTCCTCCAACAGCTCTTAAAGGGACGTTTGTAGTAGAATGTGTTGTAACTGGCAGACAGCTCTGCTACACAGTCATAGCTCTATGAAGAAGACCTATAAGCACTACCAGACTCGTAATCCAGGGGCTGTAGACTTCAAAGACAAATGACAGGAAGATAAAGCCTGTGAGCTGCTGACTGCTGTGTGCAAATTAGTGCAGGATCAAGTAGTGGCAGCTGTCTCTAGTGGGGATCAGGACTTGGGCAATAAGATTAAATACAGCCCAGCTGACTATGCATTACCACATGAGAATGTCAATCTGTTCCAGGCAGCCATATCAACAAGTATGAAACTATACTCTGCAGCAACATGCAAACTTGTGTTCAAAGGGCTAAGACATTTTTGTTTATGTAAGAGCACAAGAAAGGCCCGCAAACAAGAAGGTGCCATTTTTCCCATTTGGTAGTGCTGCAGCAGAATGAATTTAAAATGTCCTCTGGCCCTTTCATAAAGGTGCACAGAGTTTGGGTCTCAACCACCTGGCTGGGATGGGTGCTCAAGACGCCCACTAGTTTTTGAGTAAAGAACTGCTTCCTATTCTTCGAGCTAAACAAATCCCCCTTAGGTTGTAATGGTGACTCTGTGTACTTGTTACACTAGTGAATGCGAAACAGCTACTTGGGCTGAACCTATCAGTACCTCTTAGGATTTTGTATACCTGGATCAAATAGGATCTATAGTATCACCAGAACATCCCAGTTACATGTGGATTAGACTGAAGATCCCCCCCCCAACGTGTCTTCTAAATAGCTACTGTTGCACAACTGGCAAGTGTATGGTGAATTATTCTTTATTTTAGTAACATTTTTCACATTGATAAATGTCTGAAGACTGCATTTTTACCTGGTTTAGGTTACGATTTTCTTTTGTACTTGCCAGACGGTCAAGAAACATTTTCTCCTGGTATGAAAACAATTATCTTCTGAACAATTTAAAACGTTGCCTTTTCAATATAACTCCACATGATTGCATCTACATTACCGGACACGTTTCTTGTCGTGAACTTTGCCTTCTGTCAAGTTTTTTTATTGCAACTACACTGGCAGGGTTACAATTTTAAGATGATCAAGGTAATCATACCACAATACAAAGAGTGCAGAATAGAAATGATTTTCATATGTCGATCCATCCTCTTGTGGGTAAAGCAAGAATTGAAATTGTATAAGAATTCACGGTCTACCCTTCCAGCATACTGAGAGTGACACACAGACATATTCCATCAACTACTTCCATGTGATTTTGCACCTTTCTGAGTTTTTACAGCCTGCATTGTGATACTCTTACTAGACAATTTAAATTAAGAAATCAAATTTTTTATTTTTAAAACTGTCAGCGTGATGTTGCAGCTGATACCTTTGTTCTTCAATGTGGATAAGAATTATTAACGACCAAATGAGTTAAATAGGCCAAATTTCCTCGTGTTTGTAACCTTTCTAATACCTATTAGGTACCTATTAGGGCACCACAGAAAAAGGGACAAAATGGATAAGCTAATCAAATCTAACCAGCATGTATTTGGGAGATGGGTGGAACTCCTGGAGAAAAAAACAGCAAACAATCACTATCCTGACCCATCAATAATTCCCCTGACGGATAACCTTTTCCATCACTGGGTTCAACACAGAAGTTTATTTTTTAACTCAGAGATAATGTTGACAGCCTGTTCAAACACCATAATATAAAGGTCAGATCATTTCTTAAATGCCATTGAAGGTGTTTTTGGTGCTCGTGAAGCAGTGAGCACCCTCAAAACATTTACTGTGGAACTTTACAGTCACTTTTATTGTCAAATCCTCACACGCCCCCACTACTGTCTGAAAACGTAGATAATTAAAGGCTCCAAATAAGTGGAATGAATTTCAGTCATGTTGACTCACCTCTCTTTAAAGTTGTAAAAAAACCAATTTAAATAATTTCAGTTTCTGGTTAACCATTTTACAAATATTCTTGTCTAAATTATAAATATTAGTGTGTCCCATGTTTACCATTTGTTAAGTGTAAAATTTGTTTTTGCTTCAGAACTGGAAGGTTGCGCACTGAATATTTCAGGAAAAACACCTAGATCTACTTGACAGGACTTTGACTTGACCGACTTTCTGAGATTGAGAAATTTCATTCTACATCGCCCAGACAATCAGTTAATATGAGTTGCCTTAATCATACTCAAATTATTCTAATGTCTAAAGGTTCTTTTGTGCATAGGAATGCTGCAACTGTACATGACGATTTTCTATGATAAAAATAAAAAACTATAGTGCAGCTGAGGAAAATAACTCTGTTTCAAAGATTGGTTACATAACTATTTATATTCAATTCAAGTATAATCAGCCATTGTGTTTTTATTTCTCTAGCACTTTGCTGAAGGGGAATCTAAGTATTAAATTGTTTTTCTACTCAAAGGTTAATTTTAAGTTACTTAAATACAATAGGTTAAACCCCCTACATGTTTAGGAGCTAAAAATAATAACAAAAGAGTGCCAAATGAAACTATTGTTAGGTCTATTACAGGTTACATTATTTAACTGATAGGTTATGCGGAAAAGTCCAGCAAGTCTGTGTGTCCCCAGGGTCAGGACTGGAAAAACCTGAACTAGACAGATAAAGTTCAAGAGCTGTGTTAAAGGTGGAGCACATACAGTGCACATTCATCTTTCAGTTAGGTCTTAGACAAATAATCTTTAAAAAATATTGTATCTGAACTCCAATATTTAATGAAGATAACCCTAAAAAACACAAACAAATTATATATATTGCTTCATTATTAAATAAAGTAGTTATTATTTACTTTCTCTTAAATTAACCTGTGAGCAAAAGTAAGGGAACCTTTTAATTCAATAACTGGTAGCACATCCCTTAGAAGCAATGACAGCAACCAAACATTTCTTATAGTTCAGGTGGGTAGCTGCGTCAGCATGCGTAGGCTGCAATGGAATAAGTAATAGGTTTATTCCATGCTGAAAAGAGAATAAAGAAAACGCAACGTTTCAGATATGGAGCCTTCTTCAGGTGTGAGGGTGAACTCTGAATTCCCTCACACCTGAAGAAGGCTCCACGGCCGAAACGTTGCGTTTTCTTTATTCTCTTTCCAGCTTGGTATAAACCTATTACTTATTTCTTATAGCTACTCAGTCACTGACATCTGCATTGAGGAACTTTTGCCTGTTTTTCCTTGGAAAACTGTTTCAACTGCTCCAGATTTGTTGGCTGTCTTGCATGAACAGTCCACTTCAGGGCTTGCCACATTTCTTTTGAGTTCTGGACTTTGACACGGTAATTCCAAAACACCAAATTTCTCTTCATCCATTCTTTAGTAGATCTGCTGAGATAATTAAGGGAGACTGCAATGTTGTAGGACCCCTTTTCAGCTCAATTTCAACACACAGACAGACGGCCTGATGTTCTCCTCCAGAATATTTTAGTATGACTCTGAATTCATAGTTCCCTCAATGGTGGAGAGTCATCCAGGTCAATGGGCAGAAAAGCAACCCAAAACCATGACACTCCAACCATCATGCTTGACAGCGAGGATAAGGTTATTTTAGTGGGAGGTCTTTGACAAAAATGGCATTTTTTGGTGTGGTTACAAAGATCAATTTTAGAATTATCCGTCCAGAGAATATTCTTCCAACAATCTACAGGATCAGCCAGATGGTCTTCTGCAAACTTAATACAAACAGCAAAAGTTTTTGGTTTATTCCTTTGAATGCCATTGCCATTCAGCTTGCACTGTATTCTTGAGGTATTGGCGGGTTAGCAGAAGAGATCTTTTAAGATCCTCGGATATCCTGGGGTTCTTTTGGATATCCTGAATGAGTTTTCTTGTTGCTCTGTGGGATGATTTTGAAGGGCATCCATATCTAGTTAGAGTCACCATGGTCTTATACTTTCTCCATCTATAGACTATTTGTCTTGCAGTAGACTGATAAATTCCAAAACATTTTGCTATGGATTTATAACCCTCCCCAGACTGATAAGCATTTACAACACGCTTCCTGAGGCCATATGAGGTCTCTTTAGATCACTGCATGGGGTATGTGTAAGACCAACTTGACTTGGTTTCTTCCTTTCATATAAGCAAAGTCCTCCTTAAATTTATCCTCGTGATTGACTCTTTGATTGGTTAACCCCTTTAGTTTATTTAGGAGAGAAACCCGTTAGAAATATGTCTAGCATGGTAAGTTGAATGCTGCTGCTAGCTACAGTGCTGCTGGAATGTTTGTGAACCCCTACTGTAGTTCTTTTAATGTTACGTTTTTGCTATAAAATCCTTGTTTAATCAAAACTAGCCCTTACTTTTCTAAAAGCAGAGTTGATATCCACAAATGACATGTACTGCGTAGAGTAATTGGTACATTAATAGAAAAAAAATCTGTAAATAAGAATTAGTGAATGCGTAAAAAGAGTAAGTGAACCATTATGTTCATTAACTCAGTCAATGAGGTAAGTATATCCAGGTGCTAAAATAATTGCGTACCAAGTTAAGCAAGATTAGGATCTTTAGCTCCACCTGTCAAATCGCCCTTCACCCTTTGGTCTTCCCACCACTAATCGAGATCTCTGCTCGTCAAACACTCACTGCGTTCCTCCCGGTGCCTCTCGGTCTCGGCAAAGTACTGCCGCAGCTCCTCCGTGATCTCCATGTTGCTGACATCGCACTCAACTTCGCCATCCGAGCTGGAGTTCTCCTCGCCGTCTCGGGAGCACCTCACACGCTTCGTGCCCGCGGCCCTCCGTGACGCAGATGGCCCTCTTTTCCCCCCACTGGGAAAACGGGGACAGGCTTCTGGACCAGCGCTTTCCCGTTCGCTCCCACTGGAGTGTCGACGAGCCACAGCAGCGCCCTCAGCACGGTATGGCACACAGTAAGCAGCCTCCAGCGCCTTCCTGTAGGCCTGCCAGTGCTTGTGTTGCCAGTGTGCTGCTTGCTGGTAGTGGCTCCAGTACCTGGCGTACAATGGGTGACTGTACCAGGGACTGCCATGTCCTGCCGGCTCTGCCTGTTGGAAGCATCACCTTATTTAAATCGGGAAGGACCAGGCCTAACATTTCATTATTAGGCGTTGGGAGATTATGGTACACCAATACTTCATGGTCAGACTTTTTTCCAGAAATCTGTCCATCATCAAAGCCGCGATGTTTTACACATGCAGAAACATACAAACATTACATAACAGACATCTACCATATGTATTCAATTCAGACCATTCCTACAGGAATCCACACAACTACGATAGAACCCTGTAAATTTACACCCTCATAATCGCACTAATTCCACATAATTACACTCTACCCCTTTGCTTTTGCACATTAACCACTGATAGCTCTTGCCTATAAACTGTTACTCATCTACTTTGAGCTCATTGACTGATTAAATATTGGATAAAATAATTACCCATTTTATTAGGTCTACTTTTGGCCTTGGGCACAGAAAGGGACCGCCACACAGCTTGCTTTCCTATCACAGCACCTTTTATTGAAGTAACACGCACAGAATTATTATAAAGCAGGATTAAAACAGGTGCGGATGTACACATGAGCACAGTTTTAAGTCCAGTAGCTGATACGCTAATAACAGCATTTTAAGTTTCTTGGAAATGTTTTGACAAGACTATTGGCCGTTAAGATTCTTTCCAGCCAGGTGCATCTGTTCAAAAAGTTCAGTGTCGGTGCTGTAGAAAGTAAATTAAAAGTGAAATACAATGTAGAATAAACTTACCATACTGGAATTGATTCTAATGGACTGCTCTCCTGAATAAAAGAAAGAGATTAAGGTCAACTTAATCTCACCCTTTCACCTGATTTCTATATATTTTCGATACATGTACTCAAAACAGTGAAGCTACTTTTAAACTCAAGTGGTCTGTATATGTGTACAAATCCCAAATTAAGCACAGAACTGGCAGAATTTTAACAAGGTTCTGAATGTTAATAACTGCAATTCTGTAGTGAAAGAGTAGTAGAAGCTCTTCACACGGATCTTCATTCGTCTTGGTGATGTAGGTAAACGTTAGTACCTTAATTACGAGTAAAATGCCAATACAAAGCTGATTGACATTATCGTAAATCACCGAGTTTATTACTGAAATGCAATCCCTCACTTTTTCATAAAAAAGGTTAAAAACCAGCCCTAAATATATCATGACTCGTGGCATGTATTTTCTCAGATAGAAAACACGCTGCACTTCAGAAGACTAGCGTTGTAACACCATCGACATACAAAGGGAATGGCATATCTCGTAAGAAAAGCAAAACTCACGTTGCTGACTGTAAATGCTCTGGGGCAGATTATCTAAAAAAAAAGAATAATGCCGTTTTTCCACAGAGGTCGTAAAACCAATGAGCCTCAGAAAATGTGAGATCCTATACAACTGTTCTGCTACACACACAGTGCTGAACGGTGTTTCCAACTGGGCCTCACTGAAACCCAGAGTCTGAAGCGTTTTAAAACTTCAATCGGGCAAACACAAAGTGAAAATCCGTTGCAGTACAGGAGAGCATCAGTCGGCGTTTTATTCGAATGCCGGTTGAAATTTCACTACGGTCCCCTTAAGCTAAACACGATATGTGCGTATAAACCGTGTTTCCGTAACAACACGATTGACGATTGCCGCTTACCAATCGCACATCCTAGCCAGAAGCTGGCCGACAGGAAATGGAAGACCTGCCACTTTGAAAAATGTTGAGTTTAAGTTTTTCGTTACCAGACCTCTGTTGCCATCTACCGGGATCTCCAGATGGCCGATGCAACCCGCAAAGTCCTAGGGCTTCCTGGTCACGTGATTTCTGGAAGCCATTTTGCTATCCTCTGTCCTCCAGTCGATAATGAAATCTGCATAGAAAGTTCAGCAGTACCAGCCTCTGGTACCGTAATACCTCTAATATTTGCTCTTTTGGTCTCTGATGATTTCAGACTGTTGTGCTTCCAACTCTTAAAATGGATACAGGATGCGACAATTCCTTAGGGACCCAAAAGGGAAGGCTATATAAAACATGTTGGTTAACTTTGTTAAATAATCGTTAAAGAGCTATCAAACATCTGTATGCTCATCTGTGTAATCAGAAGGGGAAGATGTCAACTAATATTTGGATTTCTGGTAAAATGTGTATTTCCTTTTATACTAGAATTTTAATAACATTGAAGAACAATATTTTTTCTAAGCCAATATAATTATGAAATACTTAATATATTATTTTGCTGATTTTGAACAGTGAGGTGTGTAAAGTTTGTCCCCTTCTCATATGCAACTTTTGGGTTAAAAGGACCTACATAATTGTAAGAAATTATTTAAAAGTATCCACTATTTTCTTTGCACTCCTACTTATTATATTTATATGGTCTCATTTCTTATCTGTTTAATTCTATACAATAGATGAAAACAATTATAGGAATATAATTTTATGAGTACTGCATATTGAAGCAGTACCAATAATTAGTTTCTGTAATATTTATATTCCTTAGTTCCACATTGGCTTGTTTCTGTTGCTTAAGGCTGACACTGAAGTTGAAAACTTCAAATTGGCTTTGTAACCTGTGAGTTAAATTTCTCCTTGTCATGTAATTACTTTACAAGAACAGTTTGATAGCCAGCATTTTGAAAGTTGAAGAGCAGCAGGAAAGAAACAGTTAAAATGTAATGCAATTCCAACAAGTCTGTTCTCACCAAAGTCTGGAAAGCAAAGCTCTGAAAAAAAAAATATTTTATTCCTGATTCAGTGAATCATGTGTCTCAATAAGCCATCAGTCAGATCATACTTATTTCTATACTGATAGACAACAAAACAAATGTTTGTAGGTTTTCATTTTGTACTCTTTGTAGACCCACATGTCCTCTGTAGCACAAAGACACTCTCCACTCGCTGTTACCAGGATCTGAATGCCCAGCAATCAGTACTCACTTTTTGCAACAGGCCCTCTTTACATCTGTTCTTATTTACATTCTATACAGCTAATATATCACCTTCTTTTCTTTCATTTAACAGGATGCATTTTAATGGTCATCTAATGTATTTCACAACCCAGCGCTATGATGAAGCACAGGCACTTGAGTGCATCACAACACTGGCTCTCAGGTTTTGCTGTTGCTGCGGTTGCGTAGATTACAGTTCTCCTACAGGTGAGGACGCCTGCCAAGCTCCTGACATGGAGGTGACAAGGACCATCAAGATGAGCAACAAAATCAAACACCTGAGCTTTGCACAGCTCAGAGGAAAAAAAGAGGAAAAACCCAGGGGAGAGGTACTGTACAAATATCAAGGTCGCTGCGTGAGAGAAGATTCCAGCACTCACAACAGGGGAGTACAGAGGTTTTCTCTGACTATTGAGAAAAGCCTTAGAGAAATCTGTTCTGCCTTTAACAAGGATGCAGAATAACAATGAACCCTCTTTCAAGTGATTGTAACAGGCATGGAATTCTTTTATGTACCTAAGAGAGTGTAAAATAATATAACATATTATATCAGTACTGCATTAATGTAGATTTAGTCATATTTTTGTCTTATGCGTTATTGTGTCCTTGAAATGAAGGGCTCTGCTGTTTTCATTTCAATGTAAAAAGTAACATTTTTTTTGTTCTATATCATATTAAGCTTTGCAGAAATTTTCTGATGTACTGTATTAGGATGTGTTGAAATAACAACTTATCATTGTTGCAAGACATTTCAGTTTTGATTTTTTTATTATTGCAATACATTTGGCAATATATTTCAATTATCGAAAAGTTCTCCAGCTCTCAGTTACAACTCCACAAACATCTTGCAATGATTCTGAGAGTTCTTCAAGGCTTTTGGAGGTATACGGATTCTTGAGTTGCTGATCGAGGCTGATCATCTCATTAAGCAACATGATATAGTAGAAGAAACATTTCCATTTGTAATCATAAGGTGGCACTGTGTGGTTTAAATACAATCAAAGCTTTTTGACAAGGAATTGGAACCTTCACATTGTACACCACATGAGGGCAGTAACTTCGCAATGCATTTTGGAAATACATGTTTTGCAACATTGTTGATAACCCTGTTTATTTGTTGTTGTAAATAAACACCAGACAAGTATGGCGTGGATTGACAAAATGGATTATGTATGTTTCTTTGCTTGTTGTCCAGCTATTGCATTGTTTCCACATTATCATTTAAATCCTGTTTCATTAGGCCTACAAACAAGTAATGCACAAGAAGTGAGAGGAATAAGCTTGTGCAATTGATTGAGCTGCTGACTGATGCCAACATAATTAACGTCACGCATGCTTATAAATTAGGCCTGCCTTTTGGCCCAGTGCAGTACTTAACAAGGATTTCACATGTTTACTGAGATATTGAAGAATTTTATGAAATCCCTGATAAAATATTTAGGGATTTTGTGAAATTCCTGATTTAAAATTCTTGCAATAACAAATTTAAATAATTCTTACTGCTACATACTGACTTTTCTGTGCCAAGAAACCACATAATTGTTGGTTTAACAGGAGGATTGCAGTATATGGTCAGATGACCGTATTCTGGCAACCTCTCCACCGATGGAAGTTTTTTTGGCACCTCTGCTCTCTAAGGACTAATTTTCATACTGCTGCTTATTCATTCACCAGTCTGTCCTTTTGCATGGTAAAGGTATGGAATTGGTGACAAAGATTTAGGGCACTGCTTAACCAGCAGATTTATTTTTATTTGCTTATTGGAAATAAATGGAAGTATTGGAAAGTGGAGTTTCTTTACCTCTTTAGACTTGTTCCTCCTTTACAGTGTCACAGACATTCTGCTTATGTTGGAAGTGTTTTCTCTAACACCATTCCTGTGTGGAAATACACCTCTGTAGACAGCCTGTGCCAGAGGAATGCTGTCAAAGATATGGAGTGAAGCCCCAGTTGGAGCACTTTTATTTTTGCAAGATGTAATGGCAACCGGGACGTTGGACAAAATGCATTAACCTTCCAGGACCTGTGCAACATGTTCTTATATTTTCATCGACTTAAGAAAACTACACATAGGTCACACAACAACGTATTGATTCATACTGATTCTGTCTGAGTCACAGTACTGCTTTCACTTTGGAAACTGATATCTGTGCATTAAATAATTAGATGACATATCACAGTGGGTTTCGTTGTGGGATTCTTGGCTTCAACACCCTTCTGAGTTGTCCAAGATGCCTGGAGACAATGTGCTGATATGGAAATGGAAGTGAAATGGATATTGGCAAATGCTAAATTATGTCTTATAAACTAACAAGAATTCCAATGTGTACTTAAATTTCCCAACTAAACAACAAACACTACATTTGGGTTACTGGTGGTTGCAGTTGGCTTTTGTCAGAATGCAGATTTTTTGTAGCTGAAAATCAACCTAACAAGGTTTTTGCTCTGCATAACTTGGACCATTTGCTATGTCCTGTTTCCCTACAGTCTGGGTTAAAACCTTCTGGACAGACTTTATCCCTGTGCAATATTTTACATTGATTCACAGCTTAGTTTTTTCTTTTTTTCATTGAGTTACTGGAAGAAGGACAGGTTTAACAAATTGCTTAAAATGACATATTGTCATAATGAAGCCTACTACAAAGGATTTTGCATACTGATTTACATCTTCCGCATTTAAACAAATATACTACAAACTGGTAGTTTGTTCTACATTACTTTTAAGATTATGACACATTAATGGTGCGTCTGCTTCAACAAGCTCTACAATATCTCTAAAAAAAAAACATACAATAACATATCAAAAGAAGTGTTTGTAATTCACCACAACTATCAATCCAATCATTTATCTAAGCTGAAGAAGATAAAAATATTTGTGAATCATGTTTGCAAATCCAAAATCCAAAATAAATACATTATCAACCTATTGAACTTCGAAATCAGCAGTGAAATTCAAAAGAAGGTTTATGTGTAGAAACTACATGGGAATGCATTTAATACTGAGAATTGGAGGTGCTTCTTTACAAAGAGAGTTAAAGGGATCTAGAACAAGCTATCCAGCCATTTTGTTCAGCAGGTATTTTGGCTTCTTTCAATAATCAATGGGATGAGATTCTCAGATTAATTAACTACACTACTAGCACCCAAACAAGCTACATGGGCTTTATCGCCTCTAGTTTGTAATCTTTCTATATCCTTATGTTTCAAACTCTGTGAAAAACATTTTGCATATTAACATTTTTGTCTTAACTTTGGGAATCCATTTCATATGGGTATAGGTGTTATAACTGCATACAGTAACTGCAAGAAATTTGAATGTGCAAGTACTTACTGTACAAAAGCATTTTCAAATAATACCTTTTTTACCTCTTTTATAACCTTTTCTCTTTGACAACCATCTGAGAATCTAACACCTGCTATTTTGTATGCCAGGTTTAATTAATGCAGAAGTCCATTTGATTTTTTCAGCACAGGGATATTTTAATGGACAGTATTTCACTCTAAAAGATGTGATTCTGTGTGATCAGCTGTTTGCCTGCCTGTTTTGCTTGTAGTCTTTGAACTCATTGAACACGTGAAAAACAGATTTAGAAAGGTTCCTCGGTGACAACTGTGTATAATATACATTTATAACAATTTATAATCCCTTTCTTCATTATGCCTCATCTGAGATAAAGTTTAGAGTGCTTCAAGCACACACAGCAGGGCATCTGTTTCTGAAGAAAAGTAACTATCTCATTGCTTTTCACACAAATATTTCAATGTGTCATTAATTTCCTTCAGGCTGTGCTTCCATCATAAGTCTTATAATAAAAGCCCTGGAATCTCCTGGGGTCTGTGCATTAATAGACCAACCACAAGAGGCGAAAAGATTTAATTCAGCAGTTTTTT